GTGTAGATAGGCAAGCATATATACAAATCATTTAGTAAGCAGAAATCCGAAATTTACCTTAACATATTAAGTTAGAGGAAGATGCGACTGAATTGATGCTTGAATAATGCACTTCCAGCAGCCATGATGAACAGTTGGCTAACTAAAAACTTTAATAGTTAAAGTTTTCTATGCACAATTTGATTTGACGAAAGTCACGAGACCTATTACTATCTATCCAATCACGTTGATGGATAAAAATAAAATTAAAATAAGCATGTAACGACCACAAACGGAGGAAAATAGCGGAGTAAAAGTACCGATACATCACTTAAAATGTACTCACGTAAAAGTCAAAGTACAGAATTTTTAAACTACTCAAAAAAGTACAATTACTGATAAAAACTACTTAATTACTGTAACGTGAGTATTTGTAATTCGTTACTTCACAGCCCTGGACTTGACTTAGGTGGACTCGAACCCAACACTAGTAAGAACTGCCTTTGATGTGGAAAAGTGCTTAGCGTCACGTCAGGATCTGAGCAGAAGTACACTTTTTTCTTGTCGGAGTACTGCAGGTTTTTGACAATGTAAGCTGTTCTTGCAGCTCGCTGTTCTAAAATAAAGGATTTGGACAATGACTGGTGATCTTTTATATGTTAATGACATTAATTGGGAGTTGTTTACAAGGCAGAGAGCTGAAACCATTCAGTTGCATGCAAGTTCAAGATGATTTGCGATTCATAGGTTTCACATCTGAAAGAGATGCGAATGTTTATTTCTGTGCGTACGTTCATTCTATGAATCACATGTGAGCATATCTGAGAGATGATCGTACGATCAAATTTAGGATGGTTTCTGCGCAACATTTTATAAATGATGCCCCAGGACTGTGGGGGGGAATGAATTCTTGAATGCTACTGATTGATTCCTTGCCACTACTGTGTTCACGGCAGTACCAAAAAGGCCAGAAGGGCAAGATCAGGATATCAAGGAGAAAGAATTTCTCAATTTAATCAATTATAGTGTTAGATAAGGTCTCCACATCAAAAATTTTAGATCCAGACCCAGATGTCAGATCCTGCCAGAAGATATCAGTTTTGTCTTGTATCCAAAATCCAGTCAGCAGCGTTTTGTCTGATATCCAAAACCAGTTAACAGCAAGTCTTGTCCGTGACCCAAAACCAGTGATTTGTCTGCATAGTTGCATATGTTTCAATGCTCAGACTTTTTCTGACCAGCACAAATCTAACAAGTGTTATTATACCACAAGTGGTCCTACTTTATATTAGGTGGCCTTAACTACAATGTACTTACATTTAAATTAATCATTTGATACAATGAACTTATTCTGTACATACATTTGTTTACATTGTACTTATATTTAAAATACCTGCATGTAATTACATCTGTAATTAATTTCTTTAATTACATTTATAATTACACTGTTCACCCATCCCCTACAACTTAACCCACCCTTAAACCTACCCATTCCATCAAACCTGTCCCTAACCTTACCCATATCCCACCTCAATAGCAGCAAAAGTGTTTCGCAATACAGTATGAAAACAATAAGTACATTGTACTTATTTGTTTTGATGTAAGTTCATAGTAGTTAACCTAACACCTAAGGTATTTTTTTTCTAATCTTATACAAATCTGTTTTATTTTTACACCTTTAAGTATGTTGCTTATTTTGTTCTGTGTACCATAGGTAATGTTACATGCAGTGCCAGACTGATGAGAATGAACCTTACAATTGCTGACTGCACACAGGAAGTCGAGCTGCCCATTTGTGAGGGCCAGTGTGAGACACACAACAGGCAAGTCTAACATCATCAGCCTGTTTATTCTTAAATAAGCTATAATATTTTAGTTTTTATTATTTTAGAGACACTTTGTTAAACAGACACTTTGTCAGCTGGATGTTCATGTAAAGGCCTGTTGTAGTATTACAAAGATAATATGCAGCTAAAAGCAATAAGAATAAATCTGCCAGTCATTAATTAGTTCCCTGACAAATAGCCTTTGGCTGCTAGGGTATTGTCAGAACATTGGTCATGTTTTCAGCACAGGATTTTTTTTTTTTTTTTTCGATTTTAAATATTTGAATATTGAGTCTCATCCCCCATTTTAGAAATATTTGGACATGACAAATTATTGTATTTTGGTAATATTGGCCAATTATTTGCAGCTTCGATAACTGCATGCAAAACAATGTGCTTAAATTATATAAATGACAAAAGACAAAATATAGACAGCTATTGACAAAGACAATATTAACAAATTAAGTTAGATATTAAGGTAAAGTGAAGAAAAAAAAAACAGTAGTCTACTACTAATAAAAATAATAAGGTCCAGTTGGGTCTAATATGTATAATATAATATGTATAATATGTTTGCATATAATGTTCTTATGTTAATCTTCAATTTTTACACAAATTTTCCTTAAGGGAGGCATTAAGCCCCATGCTCAGCTGCAAGTAATTAGCTTATATAAAAGCCCCAAAATTTTGGGGCCATATAGTAGTGCAAATATTTGTGATGCATGCTTTTAAATACAGTACATATTTATTTTTAAATAATAATCACAGCAAAATCCCATTTGAGTCGTTTCAGACGGGTGTCTTGGAAATGTGGCTCTTTATCATGGATGGATTTAGCCCTGAAATGTAACCCATAAAAAGCGCGCGCACTCAGCGACCCGAGAGTTCAGTTAACTTACTGAAGTCATCGGCAGCGCTGCAGTTACTTGCTTGAGAAGACTGTCTCTAAAGATGTGTGTTTTGGAATGTGAGGAAAACTGTCCATGGTGCAAATGGAATCAATTCTGCTGCTCCAAGAGAAAATGGTAAATGGTCGTTGTTCAGTTGAAGTCATCTGCATCCGAAAAGCCAGGCTGCTGACATGCTGCCTATCAGCCAATGAATTTGCAGGCAGCGTTTGTTCATGAAGGTAACTCATGAAACTGATATGCTTCTGAGGCAGCTTAACATTCAATAATCTACAACAAAATAGAACGAACTTCAGTGATAACTAAGTGAATATTTAATTACATAATAATACTGATTTCTCGCTAGAAATAACTTCAGATGCCATCTTTATTTTGCTCAACCATCACGGGATAGGACACACAGCATTGTGGGTATCAAGGCAGCGAAGGATGCATCTATTCTGTCTTTAAATATCGACCAGATGAAGATATCTCAGGAGGCAGGAAGTGAAGCTAACATTGGATTCGACGTGTCTTGATGCCTTCCTACCTTGAAATGTGTCCTCCAAAGGCAGCATTTTCCAGTTTCAAATGCAGCCATCAGTTCAGTGTTGATTCTGCTCCGGTATCAGATTCTGTCTAGATTCTGTCTAGTCGTATTGGAAGCACGCTTGTTCTTAAGCTGTCTGGTTGTTATTGGAAGCACGCTTGTTCCTAAGCTGTTGTGTCTTTACACATCAATGTATCGTCACGAGCCGCAGGGTTAATTTGGTTTTGTTTGTGTGTTTTTTTCCAAAACTCCCAAAGCCGTGAAACTCATGAAACTGAAATCGGACGTGCTCAGTTCAGCGTTGATTCTGCTCTGGTAACAGACACGCTTGTTCTGTCTAGTTGTATTGGAAACATGATCAAAACCTTTCATCAAAGTTGTCCTAAAACCTTAAACCAAATTGCGATCTTGTCTTAGGACAACTTTGATGAACTTTTTTTCCACTTCAAATGTTGACTACTGTACATATATATTTCTGTCAGGACCACTATCATCAAAGATGATTGACAGTTAGCATACAGTTTGGATTTTGCGGTATGGTTCTGTTCTGGGCAAGAACTCCCTGCGCATCCATGCAGCCTAGCATGGATGAGAGCAGGGAGAGCAGCGATAACCCCCACAGGGTAAACAGAACAGAACCAACATGAATGTATTGCAGATATCGCTAAAGTTCAATAATTGTATGTACACATTTTAGAATTAGTCTGATTCAAAGGATAATCAGAAGGCGGAATCCTGACTGACAGAGGAGGAGCTGGGGATGGAGGAGGGTAATTAGCTATTGAGCAATGCGAAAACTGCTGATAATACTGAGGGACCTTATATATGAATGCTTAGATAGGTGTCATATTCCTATGCAGCCTAGCATGGATGAGAGCAGGGAGAGCAGCGATAACCCCCAAAACAAAACCATTGATCCACTTCAAATGTTGACTACATTGTACAAAATATTGTTTATTGTGCAATACTGTTTAGTACTTTGGTAGAAACAGACAGTGTACCATTTGTATATGTGGCCCCTGAGTTCTATATTTTTTTATTTGTTGTGTTGTCTTGCAGGTGGGTTCATACTAACAGCACACTTCAGCTTGAACAGAGTCACCAGTGTTGTAAGGAGAGAAATTATGAGATGAGAGAAACCACGCTGACTTGCAGTAAAGACTCTCTGACCCACTTCACATACAGACATGTCACAGGCTGTGAATGCAGGGTTGAAGGTTAAGTTTACCTGACATACAAATGTATGAAAATGTTAGTTAATGTTACATGCGATAAATTTTGGTGTGTGTGAGTTGTATATGCACAATTAATAATTAGCTGCCGATGTGTGTGATGATTTAGTTTCAAGCTACACAAACACATTTCTGCCATTTGTGTTTTTCAGCATGTTTTAAGTGAATCAGCTTCATTAACTGTCAATTCGTCTGTGCCAAAATCAATGCTTTATCTTGTTTACATAATAATCAGTATTTTATTTTGTTGTGTCAAAAACAATTATGTGCAATATATTTCAATTATTACTTTAATTTTCTATGTCACATATGAATAATGCCATGCTTGTGTGTGTCTGTACTTTTAATGTGATTTCACAAACAAATCAAACTTGTGATTGTAACCTGATACCAGGTGTCAAAGCCTCAAAAGCTTTTGTAATCCACTTTATTGAGTCATAATTCATAATAACCGTTAATGGAATAAAAAAAAAAAATTTGACACTTGTGGTATTTTAATGTGTATTTGCTTTTACATTACCATGTTATTTAAACAATAATAATAATAATAACAATAAACCTTAAAAATATACAGTCATTGTTTTGTTTTGTTTTATTTTATTTTTATTTTTATTTTCAGAATCCATTTTTTCCCCTTCTTCCAGGATAATATATATAGCTCTGGAAAAACTTGAGAGCAAAATTATCAGTTTCTCAGGTTTTATATTTTTGTTCTATTCTATAAACTACTGATAACATTTATCCCAAATTCCAAATAAACATATTGTCATTTACAGCATTTATTTGCAGAAAATGTCAACTGGTCTAAATAGATAGATAGATCACCCTAGCTGCCATTAACCATTCTTTTTGTAGGTCACCTGATGTCATCCTGTGGTTGTTGAGTGACATTCGAAATAGTTGGCGGTCATCCCGGTCAGTGAAGAGTCATTTTTCGCCCTCTGCCGGTCTTGTCCCCAACGTCTGCAGCTTGACCTTGTTCTTATGAACCGTTGTCTCTGACATTTTATGGATGGAAGCAACCTGGTGCTCACTGTCAGACTCTGTTCCATGTTTTGTCTGTGTCTTGCTCCCCAGGTGTTCCTTTCCCATGTTTAATTTGTCCCAGGTGTTCCCCATGATGGTT